GGGTATCATTTCATCTTGTTGGTAATATAATTTTTAAGTTTGGATTAGTGCTTTTATATTTTTGTTTTGATTTTTTTTTTTGTTCATATTAGTGTTTTGGATATCATTATATATATTAAGATCAATTGCCTTAATTTTTTATTTTTGTATTTTCAAAACCTTTATTCCCATTATAGAGTCGTACACAACCAAACATCAATATTGATAATCATTCCAATTCCATTACATTACCAAACATATAAAATACTTTCACCAAAACACATTACTTTTACCAAGTATTTGATTCTCATCCCGATTCTGAATTCCTTATGCGAACTAAATACACCCTTAGTTTCATCATATTATTCACTCTCGAAATTATGCACCGAACTTCTAAACGACGTCGTTTTTTTTAATGAAAAGAAACGGCGCCCGTTTCGCGTCGGTCCGCGCGGTTCCGCAAAAAGTAACTCTGTTATTCAGTTTCATTTTGTATACACTGTAGTTTCATTTCAACACAACTACAGTTTCATTTCAATATAACTACAGTTTCATTCGATATTTATTCACTCAAATAAGTGAAATTTTTATTTAATTTTATTTTATATACACCATAGTTTCATTAAAACACAACTACATAATCATTTTAATATAACTACAGCTTCATTGCACAAATATACACTCAAATATGTGAAATGTTATTCAGTTTCATTTTATATACACTGCAGTTTCATTTCAACAAAACTACAGTTTGATTTCAATTCAATTGCAGTTTCAGTTGATAATATAAAAATAATACATGAGACAGTGTCAGTTTAGATACACTGTAGTTTCATTTCAACACAACTACAATTTCATTTCAATTCAATTCAATTGCAGTTTCAGTTGATAATATAAAAATAATACGTGAGGCGGTATCAGTTTAGATACACTGTAGTTTCAGTTCGTAATTAATATATCAAACATGCACGCCACGTCAATGTATTGTACACCGCAGTCCACAGTATAATTGCTACATGCCAATAGTATTGACATAACTTTATTTAATTAACTCACAATAGTGATTTAGCGTTGAGAAACGCAAATTATGCTGTGCAACCGAATGCACCATGCGCATGGTGCATTCGATCCAAAACGACGTCGTTTTAGTTAAAAAACGCGCGTCCCACTTAAAGAAGAAATCAAGTTCGATTCCCGGCAATAGCATTTTTATATATCCATAAATTCATAACTATATATCCATAAATTCATAACTATATATCCACAAATTCATAACTATATATCCACAGTGAATGAATGAAGTAAAAATCCACAACTATATATCCACAGTGAATGAATGAAGTAAAAATCCACAATGAATGAACTAAATATCCATAAAATCATAACTATATATCCAGAAATTCATAACTATATATCCATAAATTCATAACTATATATCCACAGTGAATGAATGAAGTAAATATCTACAATGAATGAACTAAATATCCACAATGAATGAACTAAATATCCATAAATTCATAACTATATATCCAGAAATTCATAACTATATATCCACAATAATGCTATTGCTGAGAATCGAACCTGATTTTTTTTTTTCTTTTAAGTGGGACGCGCGTTTTTAGTCAAAACGACGTCGTTTTGCATCGTATGCACCATGCGCATGGTGCATTCGGTTGCACAGCATAACTATTGGTTGAGAAAGTGGTGGGTACAAGCCATGAAAAGTCTATGGGTTTAATTGTTTAATATAATTTATTTAACAACTGTGCACATGGACAACTAACACATGGCACATAAAAAATTCACACATTTAATTATAGAGAAAATTACACTTTTGGTCCTATGACTATAGGGGGTGGTAATTTCAGTTCGTGACTTTTAAAACTAACAGATTTAGTCCTTTTAGTATGCTTTTTTTTACACATTAAGTCCTTCCGGCCAAATCATAGGCCAAAAGTCACCGGAAATATGTAAATCATTTTTTATTAGTTAACTATGAGGATAAATTGGTCATTTCCAAGTCATTTCTTCTTCTTTCTGCTTCGGCTCGCCTTCTTTCTGCACGTCTCACCATCTCTGCGCTAAAATTCTCGAACATCAGTACATCACGACCGACGCTGAGGTTGGTTCCTTGATGAACATCACAATCGGCGTCGCACAGCTATTTGTTCTTCTTCCTGCTCTATTTTCTCTTCCGATACATGCAAATCGAAGCCACCATTACATCCCGTATACTATGTAGCCACGCATTCGGGGCAAACCGTCACGTCCGGCTTCAATCCGGCGGGAACTCCGCCGTTGATACCCGACCCGGAACTGCCAGTCCCCTCCCAGAAGCCGTTGCGCTCCATTTTGACCGGGCCCCATGACCTGGTTTGTTTCCCGCGGTGTTGTTGACGTACTTGAGCGCCGACCAGCAGTTGTAGTGGTACACGAGGACGGCGGTCATCCACGCCCGGGCGTCTTTGATCTTGCCCGCCCGCTGCGGAGATGGAGCCGGCTACGGAGGCTCCTGCGGAGCGCACATTAGATGAAACCGTCTTGACACAAGAGGATATGAACTTGAGGGAATTCGGAAGAAATCCATTCGTCCCACTCTTAGCCTTGCGATTCGTGCTACTACTGTTACCGATGCTTTGGTTTTTCTTCATAATAATATTCACTACAGTGGGGTAAAACTCTCAAAAATCTCACCGGTCGTCGCCGGAGAAAATGAATGAAAATTTAGGAACTAGTTGTCGTTCTGCAGCTTCTGCTGATGATGTCAGCAATGGCTTTTCAACGCAACCGCCGCCGCCGTCCTCTGCAGAGCGATGCTGCTGACGCGAATTGATGATAAGATGATAAAGCATTAAAATCAAACGGACAACGGGAACAAGAATGGCGCGTATAACGCCGACGAGAAGAAGCCACCGTTTATTCCCTTTTTTCTCAGACCAAATTGACCATTTTACACCCCCAAAAAATTAATAAACAATTGAATTTGTTTTTCCGGCGAAAATCTACCGGCAAATTAGCCGGAAGGACTTAATGTGTAAAAAAAAAGCATACTAAAAGGACTAAATCTGTTAATTTTAAAAGTCACGAACTGAAATTACCACCCCCTATAGTCATAGGACCAAAAGTGTAATTTTCTCTTTAATTATATTACAACTGAGCTAAGGAAAAATAAAAAGGATTTGCACTTGCAGACAACACATGGCAACATAAACAAATTTTCGCTAACTGTAAGATTCCACTAAACATTAAACAATTGCAGCTCATATTATGTTGTCATTCTCTAACTCTAATCTTTACAAGTTACAATTCTGCTAACCAACTCATCTCTTACAATAAACACCTTCATTCTCCAATCTCTCCACAAAAACCTCAGATATCTCCAATCTCTCACGTCAATGGTCTTTCGCATTACCCAATTCCACTATTCATCTTGCTTCTGCTAATCTTCACACCTACACCAACAGATATAGAGATAGAGAGAGAGAAAAGAATGGCTTGTGTAGCTGTAAATTCTCTTATTAGAACATTAGAGCTTGAGTTCTTGCAACCTCACCCTCGTCCATTCGTAGAAGAAATGGAACTCATCCCTTTTAACAAAGACCTCATCCAATCTCTCCATGCAAAGCTTGGTTTTCTGATACAACTGTTCGACAAGAGCAGAATGGATGGTGCTGAAGCAATTAAATACTTAGAAACAAAGCTCAGAGATGTAGCTTTCAGAGTAGAAGATGAAATTGAACTCCATGTGGTAGATCTTTATAAAGCATTGGAAGCTGATCCCTATCTCTCTTTGGAAGATCTCTTTAAAGAAGCTGACGAGGAAATGGGACAAGGGGACACTGAAGACAAACAAACCCAGCATTCTCATAGACTTAGTCATGTATTGCAACAAGCAATAGAAGACATTGATGCCATTAAAGAAGAGCTGGAGAAAGTCATGATGGAGTACAAGCATGTCGTAGCTGTGCAAGAAAGTCATGAACTTGTCAAGATGGACGGTTCGGGTTCCTCCAATCATGCTTCACACACTGAGGGCATAATGGTCGGAAAAAACAATGAGTTGGACACTATAATGAAGATGCTAATACAACATCCATCTAAACAACGAGAAGTTGTCTCAATTCAAGGTATGGGAGGAATCGGCAAGACAACTTTAGCTAGACGAGTTTATGAAAATCCATCTATTGTCTCCCACTTTGACAAGCAAATATGGGTTGTTGTATCACAACATCAGAATAAGAGGCAAATGCTCTTAGATCTTCTTGGTTCTAAAGACAATCTAAAAAACAGCAGTGATGAGGACCTAGCATTACAGCTATACCAAAGTTTGAAGTGTCAAAGGTACTTGGTAGTGATGGATGATGTATGGAGCATAGAGTCATGGAATGATGTTAAATCTTGCTTTCCAGATGATATAAATGGGAGTCGAGTATTGTTGACTACTCGCGTTGCAGAGGTGGCTACTTGTTTTGGCTCTAACAATTACTTCTCCCATCAAATGCAGTTCTTAAATCAAAGTGAAAGTTGGGATTTATTTCATAAAAAGACATGCAAATCTCATGGTGTTGAATTTGAGACAATTGGGAGACCTATTGTTGAGAAGTGTAAAGGACTGCCGTTGGCAATTGTTGTGATAGCAGGTTTATTTTCAAAACTCAATACACTAGATGAGTGGAAGAATACTGCTAATGCTCTAATAAGTTTTTCAACTTCAACTCTAGATGATGAAGAATGTTGGAGAATTCTGTCATTGAGTTATAGTCACCTGCCCCATAATTTGAAAGCCTGTTTTTTATATTTTGGATTTTTTCCAGAAGATTATAAGATCGATGATAGCGACCTTGCAAGGTTATGGGCTGCGGAAGGACTTGTAAAGGCATTCAAGAATGAGAGTTTTGAATCGGTGGCTGAAAGGTACATAAATGAACTTATGGATAGAAATTTAATTCTTGTAAGCGAAAGAAGTAGTTGTGGGAGAAAAATTAAGAAGTTTAGAGTACATGATTTATTGCATGCCTTTTGTGTAAGAGAAGGTCAGAAGCAGAGTCTTTTGCATGTTGCGGATGAAAGTGGTTGCAATTTCCCAGAGAAAGGTGTCCGTTGGATAAGAATCCAACGGGTGTCATTTGAAGATTATGAAATCTCTGCGTTACATTCTCTGTCAAAACACTGCCGCTCCATCTTTTATTTGGCCAATCATTCAATAAATTTGGAATTTTTCAGCCTATTGAGGGTACTCTGTGTTACTGAATTCCATTCGGCGACTGTTCATATTCATTTGAGATACCTATTTACATCATGGTCACCTAATCCTTATAATTCTTCATTACTCTCCAACGCTTGGAATCTTCAAACATATATTGCTGAGCAGGAAGATATGAAATTGAACCATTTAAAGTCTCCACAACTACAGTATATTGACTGTGAAAATTTTTATGGAGCTTTTCCGAAATCTGTTCATCAAAAGTTGCAGGTCATTTATAGATTGCAGGCTAGTCAATGCGACCAAGAGTCCTTAACAAAAGTTCCATACCTAAAGAAGGTAACTATTGTTATAGGCAACCCCAATGATTGCATTAAGAACATTGTCTGTTTACAGCAGCTTGAGAGTTTGTCTCTTTTTGTTGGTCCATTGAACCTTGAAATTCCGGATATGATGGCTCAAATCATTAACAATATACTTCTCTTGAAAAACATTAGGAAGCTGAAGTTTGATTATTTGAAATGTGAGTGGAAGGCAATTAATGTTTTGAGCAAGTTACCAAGGATTGAGGTGCTCAAGTTATGGTATTCTGACCTTGGCAAAAAGTGGGAACTACCAGAGAATGTGAAATTCTGCCACTTAATTTGTTTGGAAATTCAGTCTGAAATTTTCAAGCATTGGGAAGCTGGTGCTGATAATTTTCCAAAACTTGAGCGCCTATTCCTTTATGGATGCTCTGAATTGAGAGAGATCCCGAATAGCTTTGCAGAAATTTCAACATTGAACTTAATCCATTTAGAGCGGTGTCATCCTTCTATAGTGATGTCAGCCAAGCAAATTCAGGCTGAACAACATGACTATAGAAACGAGAATATGGTTGTCATTGAGATAGACACAAGAAAGGTCTCTCGATCAATCTCCATTTCTTTTTCTCAATTGCTTTATATTTCACTCTCCTTTAATTTTTCTCCCAACTTCATTTAGTTTCATCACTTGTTTTCTAGCTTGAATAGGGTATATATTACTATATTAAATTACTGTCTTGTATCTGCTTCTAGGAATGAACAATATAATCTGCTGGATTTAAGGCTTGCTAGACATATGGATTTAAGAATTTTAGATTTTTTGTTATAAGTATTACAATATTTATCATCAGTAACAATCAATTTTATTCTAAATAGTATCACAGTTTCACATATAGTCCCGCCTTCTTTTTGCCTACTTGAAGGGAGGAACCTTGCTACTCGAGCAATACATCGATTCTATATCTTTTCAATTAACTTTGGAATCAAGAATGAAAACTAGTAAATTATAGACACTGATTCTTAGTTTTGACATTTTGGGTTGCTGAGATGAAACTGATACAAGGAAAATATGGTCCTTTAAATGCTCAAGTCCTCTCTGGCTCTTTTCAATCATTAATTAAATATTTTGATTGATTTATTTATTGGTTGATGGTATTATGGCAGGCTATAGCAACACAAAACAAGGAACAAGCTCGCCAAATATTACATAAAATTCCTAACTTACCTTATAAATACCATTCCCACCCCCAGAATTTCCTGCAAGATTCCTTGCACACAACTCATCATCATCTTCATCTTCATCATCATAGCTACTTTACCTTAGCTTCATCATCTGTTTTAACGTCTCCATCCAAACACAAAATCATGGCACCAACGTTTCTCTTTGTCTTCTTCTTCATCTTCATCGTCATCATCATTAATGCCATTGGAAAGTTCAGAGGGTGGCATCTCTAAGACTTCTCTCTAATAAATTCCTCTGTGTCATCTAATTCTTTATGATGGAAGTGCTGCTTTCAAGAATGAAAATTGCTGTTATTCTCTATGTGATTTCTGTATTGCTAAATGCAATTATTGTCCAGGGATACATTTTGAATCCTTTATGCAACCAATAAAAAGCCTTTACTCATCATTTGTTTATGACTAAGAGTTGATCCCATTAGCACTGAAATAGAAATGACCGTGGGAGTCCAATAACTGTACTAAATATATGCCTGAACTCTTGAATGATTTAACTGATTTACTGATTTATCATTCACAATCCAAGTTGTAAAAGTAGTTTCTATGCATTATTATGGAGTTTCATCTTTTGTATTATTTGTTGTCAAATGCCTTTCTGGAATCTTAATTTGTACTATTTAAAGCATATGTATGATTTTCAAGAAGTGCTATGATCTTTTTGCCTTGTCTTTTTAGCTTTTGGCCCCTAATAGGCTAATAGTGTCATTAAGATTTGCACTACAAACTTTTGATTGTCTATGTTTTTTCTCGTCAGGCTAGTTACGGATTCTGTGAATACAAGGATGAAGAAACTGCCCTGAGTGCTCTCCAGGGATATGAGATCAATGGTCGCCAATTAAGAGTTGATTTTGCTGAGAATGATAAAAATGCTGACAAGAATCGTGAACAAGTAAGATGTTTGGATGTCTAAAATAGATTTAACTCAATTATTTTCTTGACACTGGTTTCTAGTGGGCATTGTTCCTCTGTAATGATCTCTTTATGCTCTGCTTATTTGAATTTAAAAGTTTATTTAAAAATTTTGGAGCTTTATATTTTATGACACTCTAGGGTTGGCTATTAATATAGTAGTTGAGTAATGGTTCTACTACTGGAAGTCTGGAAATAGAGTAATTGAATCCTACCACGCATAGAATTATAGAGTGACTGTTTTTTTGCTTTGTTAGTTGATGAATTTGTATCAATCCCAATTCCCACAATATTCATGATGTCCAAAATGTAGGCAAGAATGTGGGATCTGCAAAACAAGGCTTTTAGCAATTTTGGGCCTTAGATCATCTTAAAAGCAAAGAATGAAAACTATCCCTAATCATTGTAGGAAAATAGTATAGATTCCTTCTATGTCTTGACTTTTGCCATTTTGCTAAGTCTTGATGAATTTGTGAAAATTTGAAGGTGAAAACTCCTGTCTCAGATTCCCCAACTATAAAAGAACTCATTCTTGAGTTCAAGGAATCATTACTCATCATCTTTTTAATAAATATTTGGAGTATAAAGAAATCTTCATGGTCTTCTTAAGTGCTAATAGAACCAATTCAATCTTCCCTAACTTTGGTGGTTTGTGTTTACTTGATTAAACATTTAAACCAACTGATTCCTTAAGTCATGCATATTTATTCAACTCCAATAAAATATACTTTCTCATAATTGTGCAAATCCACATCAAAATCATTATTAGGATTTAGGGTTCTCTTCTCTAATTACGCTTCTATCATCAACTGCTCAATTATCTCCATTTTACAAAATCAATCATCTCTTGGAACATCTTTAGAATAACTCATGTGAACCTCCAACATGCTATTTTCAAAATTGTGTTAATGAACATCCAGAACTGTTTGTTTTAATTCTTCTAAAATATCACCAATGAATCTCACTTTCTTCTCTTCATCTACAGCATAGCACATTCATTTCTAACTTGATCAATTAAAACTAAATCCTTACTGACAATGCTTCAAAATATTTCATTTGGAAATTGATCTGTATTATGGTGCCTTTAATTCCTTTCACAGTTGGTGATGTAAAAATGCTTCAAAATATTTCATTGAAGCTATTCGGCCACAGGGTAATTTGAGTGCTACCCTGGCCTGCCGATTCAAGTTGCCACTTCCACTTCCTCTTCTTTGAAGCAGGGCTTGATCCTTCTGCTAATTTGGCATATACTAGTCAACCTGCTGCACCAAATGCTGCATTCCAACCTTCACCAGCAACAGAAAAAGTTTTTCAGGTAACAATCTTAACCTGTCAGTGTATACATCAACTCGGAGATTGGGTAAATACTGTATTTTGAAATTGCTATACGAACTGGTTTAGCTTAACATTCTTTGGCCCTGTTTGGTAAAATAGTTAGCGTATTAGTCAATTTTGACTTATTTGACCACTATTAGTTGTTTGACTTGGTTAAACAATCAACATGAGTGCTTGATTAATTAGCTTTTTGTAACACAACTTTTTGCTCCAAAATGCTAAAATTCCTTTTTGAGAAAGTCATTGTTTGTAATTAGCTAACAGCTAACATCCAATTTACCAAACACTTTTCTACAATCAACTAGTTAAACTTACTTACCAAATCAGTTATCAATTAACAGCCATTTACGAAACACCCTTATGCATTTATCAAATACATGTATTTATGTGAGTAATTGTAGTATCAATGTGGTGGTAGCTCCTTGGTACCTTTTAATGGAACTCTTAAAAAAACATAAGTAGAACCGTTTTAGGGTAACATTCTTTATTGATTAAGCCCTAAGGTAATGCATTTATCTGTGCAACTACTATGTTATTAACTGGAGTTCATTGGAATGTTGATATTTTTAGTTGTGCCAATTTCATACTTATTCATAATGGAAAATGCATTTTTCCCCTCCTGATGTGCGTGCCTTATATTATGACTCAAATCCTTAAAATGACATGAGAGCTGAGGTTGAGCTAACACCTGGTGACCTGGGGATGTAATGTTGTATCCTTAATTATGGGTATGAGGGGATTATGGGAATTTAATGTTCATATGAGAAGTAATTTGAGACAGAATATGCAAAATAATAAAGATGCCTACGTAACTTGAATAGTTTTTTTTTTTTTTTTTTTTTGATAATTTGCTTTTACAACAGTATGCACGTTTCATGCTTGAAATTTTGGTCTTCACGGAGTTTTCAGTTCTTTTGGATTTTTTATTCTTTTTGACAATATGTGGTAGATGTTTTTTATTAATCTTTTTTTTTTTAACAGCCAAGCTCTTCGGCATTGTCTACTCCTCTGGAGAACATTATTAAGGGTCGTCTTGAAATCCAGATTGTTGCTAACAATTCTGCTTGGGTCAATAAAACAATTCCCACGTCAGGTTTGGCAGAGAGAGCTAGAGCCCCAAATGATAGTATAGATGCAATGAATCATCACCCATCAAAGTTACGTTGTCAAAACTAAATGATGGAAGGAGTTCCTATTTAGCTTATCTGGAAATCAAATTTCCGGAACAAAAGAGGCTTCTAGTTCTGAGAAGCATGCTCTTCAGGTAAGCTTTAACAAACATTCCTGTATTGCATCCATCTTAAGAACGGCAGAGGCTTCTAGTTCTGAGAAGCATGCTCTTCAGGTAAGCTTTAACAAACATTCCTGTATTGCATCCATCTTAAGAACTGCTGTTATTATTATTATTGCTAGTGTTTTATATCCCATCAAATGCAAGTGAATTACTTATACGACTAGTGTATTATTTGTTGTGTTTCAAACAGTTTAGTATATTGTTCTTAAGGTCCCAGTGTATTATTTGTTGTGTTTCAAACAGTTTAGTATATTGTTCTTAAGGTCCCATTTGATTTCCTTTAAAATCCTGAATCAATTTTCATCCAAGACCTCTCTTTCACACCTGCAGATGTAGAGTTTGCCTTATTAAATGAGTACTATCTCAAGGTAACTTATATAATTTTTATTTATTTTCAATTTGTAACTACTTTGAAGTTAGTAAATTTAGTTTTCACTTTTCAATTAATAACTTAGGATTCCATTAATTAAAAGAATTCAATACCTAGCCAATTGTTTGATGGACTCCAACTTTTTTTTTTATTACAAAGGAAGGGGGATACTCATACAAATTACACCTACAATGAGGCTCAAAACCTAGACCTCCCACATAGGAGAGCAATCCAATACCAGTGAATCACAAGCCACTTGATATGGACTCCAACTTTGATAATCATGAAATAAATTTATCATATTTCTTTTACTTTATTAATTGGAAACAAATTTATCGAATTTCTTATATTGTATCTTAATATATATGTATTCGGAACGGATACATGTTACTCTTCAATTCTTATACAATATTTGTTCCTTTGAAACAAAATTACGTTACAGCTACACAAGTACATTATATTCCCAAATGATTGGCTGAGAGATACTATTGCAACTGTCTTCTACACACTTGAACTATTCCCAAATGTTTTGCACCGTTAATGTTGTTGGGTAATATGGTTGAAAATCCCAAAAATAATAATAATTCTACGGAAAGATTAATATTATTTGGGAAAACAGAAAATTGGGAAGGAAAAGGTTGAGTGTTTGGGTATAGGTTTAGCACGAGTTCGAACACAAGGTTCTTTTCCTTAAAACCTTATTTGCTACCTCCCACAAGTGCTAGGAGCGTTGTAGCCTAGGTTTCCCAGGATAAAACGTGCTACGATTCCTTGTTTAAGCACCTAAACAAGGAACCCGGCAAACAAAGCAAAGTAGAGAACACTAGTTGGTAAAGAAGAGAGTAGAAGCAGAGTTTTGGGAAGCTGAAAGCTACTGGAATTCCTTTCGTTTTTGTACTGTGTAAAATGCTACTGCTTCTACCTCTCTTTATATAGGGATGTTGGAGTGATAGCATTCAACATGGCCATTAAATTGGTGTTAAAACCAATTGTGTAATACCTGTAACGGTCACCACTAAGTAGGATTAAACTCAGAATTTAAAAATTGGAATTAAAACAGTATTAATTCCGTAACAGATGAGTTTAATCTTCTGCACTTTCGGGTTGCAGGTTCACACGGACCAGTCGTCGTGCCCGCAGGTGCCGGCGAGCTCGGGCTTGATATCAAGCCCGGGTTTCAGACCGTTGGGTTGCAGGTTCACACGGACCAGTCGTCGTGCCCGCTCAGACCGTTGGGTTGCAGGTTCACACGGACCAGTCGTCGTGCCCGCAGGTGCCGGCGAGCTCGGGCTTGATATCAAGCCTTTTTTATGTCCTCTAGTTGGATTTTGATTTGCACCCCCCCCCCCCCCCGCGCGCGCGCGAGAGAGCCTCTATGCTATACAATTCTACAAGCTTGAAAAGAGCTCATGTATATAAGGGGGGCAAATCTTGTTTCCAAACCAATGTGGGACAAAGTCCTACATTTTCCCTTCATTTCCCAACTTAAATGGGTCTACTTTGAGAATCAATATCTCATTCACCCATTATCCGTTTTGAGCGTACAATATATCAATCTCTTCGTCTTACTACGAAGAATCCGAATCCACTTTGACCCGACCCAAATCGGAAGTGGACCCCACTGATAATTGTACCACAAAATAGCCACTTAATATGCCATTTTAAGCTAATTTTCCCAACAAATGTAAGTTGTTGATTGGTAGTTTCTTACATATCACATAAATCTGGGAGATTATGATATAAATCCACTTATGAGAACAATTAAGATTGAACTCTTGCAAATTTTGAAGATCAAAACTTCCAAATCTAGAAGATAATACTGCACTGGGTCTCATTTTGTGGGACGAAACTAATTCAGTTCAAATTTACTCAGATCATTCTTCCGTCTCTATTTGATTGGTTGGTGAAAAAAAAAAAAAAAAAAAAAAACATTATGCCCTGGCCTACTTTTGAATTATTGCACCAAGTAGTGGAAACTTTAGAGCTGGAAAGCTAAAGGTTAAAAAAGCTGTCGGCAATGAATTATTGCACTCAGATCAGTGGCATTACCCAATTCCACCCATCGTGCTTTACTTCGATCTGCTAATCTGCACTCAAACAATCTGAGAAAAACTATTCTCATTTGATTTACATTACACCTATACTAACACAGATATATAGAGAGAAAAGAATGGCTTGTGTAGCTGTAAATTCTCTTATCACAACATTAGAGCTTGAGTTCTTGCAACCTCACCCTCGTCCAATCCTACAACAAATGGAACTCATCCCTTTTAATGAAGAGCTGATCCAATCTCTCCATGGAAAGCTTGGTTTTTTGATACAACTGTTTGACGAGAGCAGAATGGATGGTGTTGAAGCAATTAAAGAGTTGGAAACAAAGCTCAGAGATGTAGCTTTCGGAGTAGAAGATGAAATTGAACTCCATGTGGTAGATCTCTACAAAGAAGCTAACAAGAAAAATAGACGAGGGGACACTGAAGCCAAAAAAACCCAGCATTCTCATAGACTTAGTCATGTATTGCAACAAGCAATAGAAGACATTGATTCCATTAAAGAAGAGGTGGAGAAAGTCATGATGGAGTACAAGCATGTCATAGCTGCGCAAGGAAGGAAGACTACACTTGATGATGATGTTATTCCGAAATTTGATGATGAACTTGTCAAGATGGACAGTTCCGATTCCTCCAATCATGCTTCACAGACTAAGGACATAATGGTTGGGAAAAACAATGAGTTTGAGACTATAAGGAAGATGCTAATACAACATCCATCTAAACAACGAGAAGTTGTCTCAATTCAAGGTATGGGAGGAATTGGCAAGACAACGTTAGCTAGACGAGTTTATGAAGATCCATCTATTGGCTCCCACTTTGACAAGCAAATATGGGTTGTTGTATCACAACATCACAATAAGAGGCAAATGCTCTTAGATCTTGTTGCAGGTTCTAAAGACAATCTAAAAGACAACAGTGATGATGACCTAGCATTACGGCTCTACCAAAGTTTGAAGGGTCAAAGGTACTTGGTAGTGATGGATGATGTATGGAGCAGAGAGTCATGGAATGAAGTTAACTCTTGCTTTCCAGATGATATAAATGGGAGTTGAGTATTGTTGACTACTCGCGTTGCAGAGGTGGCTACTTGTATTGGCTCTAACAATTACTTTTCCCATCAAATGCAGTTTTTAGATCAAAGTGAAAGTTGGGAATTATTTCATAAAAAGGCATGCAAATCTCAGGGTGTTGAATTTGAGACAATTGGGAGACCAATTGTTGAGAAATGTAAAGGATTGCCTTTGGGAATTGTTGTGGTAGCAGGTTTATTTTCAAAACTAAATACACTACATGAGTGGAAGAAAACTGCTAATGCTCTAATAAGTTCTACTTCAACATCAACTCTAGATGACGAAGAATGTTGGACAATCCTCTCATTGAGTTATAGTCACTTGCCCCATAATTTGAAAGCTTGTTTTTTATATTTAGGAGTTTTTCCAGTAGATGAAGTGATCAATGCTAACAACCTTGCAAGGTTATGGGCTGCGGAAGGACTTGTAAAAGCATTCAAGAATGAGAGTTTTGAAGCGGTGGCTAAAAGGTACATAAATGAACTTATGGATAGAAACTTAATTCTTGTAAGCAAAAGAAGTTGTTGTGGAAGAAAAATTAAGGAGTTTAGAGTACATGATTTATTGCATGCCTTTTGTGTAAGAGAAGGTCAGAACCAAAGTCTTTTGCATGTTGTCGATGAAAGTGGTTGCAATTTCCCTCAGAAAGGTGTCCGTTGGATAAGAATTGAAAGGGTGTCATTTAAAGATTTTGACATCTGTGCACTACATTCTCTGTCAAAACACTGCCGGTCCATCTTTCATTTTGGGCGGTCGCCCACAGATTCAATAATTTTGGAAATTTTCAGCCAATTGAGGGTACTCTATGTTGCTGAATACCTTTCGCCAACTTCGACTGATGTTCATATTCATTTGAGATACCTATGGATAACCAGGCAATGTGATTCTTCTCATTCATTTTTCTCCAACGCTTGGAATCTTCAGACATATAGAGTGAATGAAGGTATAGAATTGAACCATTTGAAGTTTCCACAACTACAGTATATTAAGTGTCATGAACTTTATGGATCTTTTCCCAAATCTGTTCATCAAAACTTGCAGGTCATTAATAGATTGCGGGCTAGTAAATGTGACCAAGAGTCTTTAACAAAAGTTCCATACCTAAAGAAGGTATCTATTACTATAGACGACCCCAATGATTGCGTTAAGAACATTGACTGTTTACAGCAGCTCGAGAGTTTGTCTCTTCATTTTGATTCATGGAGCTATGGAATTCCGGATATGATGGCTCAAATAATTAACAATATTCTTCTCTTGAAAAACATTAGGAAGCTGACGTTTGATTATATGACATGTGAGTGGAAGGTAATTAATGTTTTGAGCAAGTTACCAAAGCTTGAGGTGCTCAAGTTAATGGTTTGTGACCTTGGCAAAAAGTGGGAAGTACCAGAGAATGTGAAATTCTGCCACTTAATTTGTTTGAAAATTTCGTTTGGTAGTCTCAAGCATTGGGAAGTTGGTGCTGATAATTTTCCAAAACTTGAGCGCCTATTCCTTCAAAGTTGCTATTCATTGAGAGAGATCCCGAATAGCTTTGCAGAAATTCCAACATTGAACTTAATCCAATTACAGTGGTGTCTTCCTTCTGCAGTGATGTCAGCCAAGCAAATTCAGGCTGAACAGCATGAATATGGAAATGAGAATATGATTGTCATTGAGGAAAACACAATACAGGTCTCTCTATCAATCTCCATTTCTTTTTCTCAATTGTTTTTTATTTCACTCTGATCTCCTTTAATTTTTCTTTATTTAGTTTCATCACATCCTAATTTGTTTTCATTCATTCATGACAGCCTAACCCTGAAGATGAAGTCGAGTCTGATGAAGATTTGGAGTAGATGATGCAAAGCTATAGCAAAGAAACTAAGGGTGTGGGAAGAGCAGATGGTTGTTAGTTGTGGCTGTTTTTGGTGTTTGAAATGGTTTGTGGTTCACATACAGCTTCTTCAGCTGCAAATTTGAATAGGGTATACATTACTATATTACTGTCTTGTATTGGCTGCTTCTAGGAATGAACAATATAATCTGCTGGATTTAAGGCTTGCTAGATGGATTTAAGAAATGTAAAAATATTTTGATCTGATCAACAATATTATTCTCTTTAACTTCAACGTTGCTGCATTAGCTTGGTGTTCTTGATCTAATATTTATAACCAAAGCTACCCTCCCCTCTAAAATTTTCTCTTATAATCTTCCCTCCTTACATGACATTTTCTAATTGGGTAATTAATTAACTTTCTTTTTAACTAATGGTGTGGGGCAAAAGCTTGTGTGGAACCGTCTCACAGATTCTTATCCGTGATATGAGTTGAGCTATAGACAACCGGGTGAGATGCTCAATGAAGGCACACTTTGTACGTACAATCCTCAAATAAAAAAAAAAAAAATCTAAAAAGAGTTGAATGATTCATGACAGCCTGAGACTAAGGAAGATGATGAGTTTGGTGCAGTTGAAGAGTAGAGGATGCAAAGCTTGAGCAATGATCATAAAAGACTCTAATCTAAAGTACTGCATATTTAGAGTACTTACTGTCTATATATATATATATATATATATATATATATATATATATATATCCTTGAGGCAAGCATGTGCAGAACTGTTGAATTTGAAGCAATGAATGAACAAAGAGGCATTGCATTTGGGCCTTTAATTTGAATTCGATCTTCCAATATATATGTATGTAATTGTACTATCAGTTCTTGAATCTTCATGTGTACTGTCATATTCATATTTCAGCAAATGTTGAACTTGGAATACTTTGAGCCTTCAAAATCTGCTCTCTACTACTTACTCAATATTTATTTGTCAACTTTATTTTCTTAAACTGCGGTTACTACGGCAAATTATGCTATGCGCACGTGCGCACCTTGCAAGGTGCGCATGGCGCACGGCGCTAAAACGGCGTCATTTTCACTGAAAACGACGTCGTTTTAACTAAAAAAAAAATATTTGTTCGAAACGCCGTTAACGGCGTTAACGGCATATTCGTTATGAAATTATGAATATACAGTTATGACATTATGAATGTACAGTTATAGAATTATGAATGTACATTTATGGAATTATGAACTTACAATTATGAACATAGAGCTTCGAAAATTATGAATGTTCGGTATGGAATTATGAATATATAGTATGGAATTATGAATGTACAGTTATGAAATTATGAATGTACAGTTATGAAATTATGAACGTACAGTTATGAAATTATGAACATAGAACTCTGACATTATGAACATAGAGCTTCGAAAATTATGAATTTACAGTTATTGAATTATGAATGTACAATTACGGAATTATGAATGTACAGTTATGAAATTATGAATGTACAGTTATGAAATTATGAACACAAAGCTGTGAATATATGCTCCTATAACGAACCGGTCTGAAAATAAAATTTATAAAATAAAATAAAAAAAAAAAAAAAAAAAAAAAAGAGGAAGATAACGTTACCGTGCCCATGATGCACGCTGGGCACGATTCCACAGCATAACGTCTCGGTTACTACTGGACTTAAACACATATGTAATTATCTTCATCTCATCTTGTTTTGTTTAACATTTTTCTTGCTATGGGAAACCGCAGACAGTTAAATGAAGCACTGGGAAACCGCAGCTGCAAAAAAAAAAAAACAAAAAACAAAAAACAAAAAAAAACAAAAAAAAAAAAAACAAAAGGTGACTTTACTTTGAAGCTATTAAAGCAGTGAGAAGCATACATCTGTGTAGCTCTCTCTCTTTCTGTGTAGCTCTAGGGTTAGTCAACCACACCTTAAATACAAGTTGGTTCTAAACTGATATGGTATGCCAATATTTAGTTTCCTAAAATATGGGATACTCAATCACACAGAATATTCTATAACACTCCCCCTCAAGTTGGAGCAAAGATATTGATCATGCCCAACTTGTTACACAAATAACTGACTCGGGTTCCAGTAAGGGCCTTTGTGAATAAGTCCCCGAGTTGTTCTCCTGTCTTCATAAATCCTGTGGAGATTAACCCTTGTTGTATCTTCTCACGTACAAAGTGACAGTCAATTTCTATGTGCTTAGTTCGTTCATGGAACACCGGGTTTGAAACCAGACTCATACAAAAGGTTGTGTATCTACATCACTTCACTTGTTGATTGTGCCATCGCTCTATATTCAGACTTTGCACTCGAACGAGATACTACATTCTGCTTCTTACTCTTCCAGGAAACCAGATTACCTCCAAAGAAAACACAATATCCAGTTGTTGATCTACGATCCTCTTTGGAACCTACCCAATCTGCATCAGTAAAACACTCAATCCGAGTGACCATGATTCTTATACAAGATTCCGTGTCCTGGGGCTCCCTTTAAGTAACTCAAGATGTGCTCCACAGCTGCCCAGTGATCAATAGTTGGAGATGACATGTATTGACTCAAAACGCTAACTGGGTATGCAATATCTGGACGGGTTACGGTCAAGTAGTTTAGCTTCCCAACCAATCTCCTATACCTCTCAGGATCTTCAAACAATTCCCCCTCCTTTGTCAATTGCAAGTTCGGTATCATGGGAGTATTGCATGGTTTAGTCCCTAGTTTTTCCGTTTCAGAGAGTAAGTCAATAACATATTTTCGTTGAGATAGTAATACACCTGTCTTGTTCCTCATAACTTCGATACCCAGGAAATACTTCAGTGGTCCCAAATCTTTTGTTTGGAATTGACTGTGAAGAAATGACTCGAGAGACAAAATCCCTTCGGTGTCGTTCCCTGTAATGACAATGTCATATGCATAAATCACCAACCAGATGATACCTGTTTTGGACCACTTGTAGAACATGGAATGATCCGATTTGCCTTTCACCATCCCAAAATTCTCAACAACCTGACTAAATTTTCCAAACCATGCACGTGGACTTTGTTTCAGCCCATACAACGATCGCCGAAGACGACATACTTTTCCAGACTCCCCCTGAGCAACAAACCCAGGAGGTTGCTCCATGTACACCTCTTCATGAAGATCCCCATGAAAAAAGGCGTTCTTGATATCAAGCTGATGCAAAGGCCAATCATGAATGGTAGCCATTGAGATGAGTAACCTTACAGAAGTAAGCTTAGCCACAGGTGAAAAAGTGTCAGAATAATCAACTCCATAAGTTCGGACATATCCCTTAGCCACAAGACGAGCTTTCAATCGAGCCACAGACCCATCCGAATTAACTTTGACGGTAAACACCCATTTACAACCAATAGGTCTTTTACCTGTAGGCATAGTGACCAACTCCCAAGTACCGTTGTGATCCAAAGCGTCCATCTCCTCAATCATGGCATTTCGCCACCCAGGATGGGACAAGGCGTCCCTAACAGTCTTAGGAATCGATATAGAATCAAGGGAAGCAATGAAAGAAAACGAGGCAGGTGACAGCCTATCATATGATGCAACATAGGATATAGGATAAGTACAACTACGTTTACCTTTCCGGGTAGCAATCAGACGTTCATCAACTAAGACTGGATCAAATGACACAGAGGTGGTGTGAGGGCATGGAGCTGAATCTGGAAGGGGAGCGGGAAGTGGTGTCGGTACGAGTGTGTCAGGCCGAGGTCGACGAGAATACACATGTAAGACAAGAGGGGTAGGAACAGGGGAAGGAACAGACGCCGTGACCGTATACATCAATATATCTTCCTCCTCCCCCTTACGAACAACCTCTGGGGGTGAAGGAAAGAAAGGGACGTCCTTATGAAAGGCAACATCAATGGAAACCAGATACCTTCCAAGCTCAGGAGAGTAACACCTATACCTTTTTTGCACACGGGAATATCCAAGAAACACACACTTCAAAGACTTGGGATCTAACTTGGTGACATGGGGACGGATATCCCGAACAAAGCATACACAGCCGAATATACGCGGGTCAACATGGAACAAAGTCTTTGAAGGAAACAGAGTGTGGAAAGGTGTTTTCCCACCCAAGACCGCAGAGGGCATCCGATTGATCAAGAAACAAGCTGTGGAAATGGCATCAGCCCAAAACTGCTTGGGAACCCCCATTTGAAACATCAAGGCTCTTGCAGTTTCAAGCAGATGCCGATTTTTGCGCTCAGCGACCCCATTCTGAGAAGGTATATCAACACAAGAGGACTAATGTAACATACCCTTCTGACGCATATAAGAGACAAAAGAGAGCGAAAAATATTCTTTAGCATTGTCACTACGTAAAATTTTCATAGGAACACCAAATTGAGTCTTAATTTCAACGCAGAATCCACAAAACACCTCAAAAAGTTCAGAACGAGACTTCAGTAGATATAACCATGTTATTCGAGAAAAATCATCAACAAACGTAACAAAATATTTAAAACCGAGTTTAGAGGTCAAAGAACACGGACCCCAAATATCATAATGCAATAACTCAAAAGGAGCAGGCGCTCGTTTGTAAACTCTAGGACTCAAAGGCACACGATGGTGCTTGGACAACTGACACGACTCACAATGTAAAGAAGACAAACTTGAAAACTGCGGACACAATTTCTTCAATAAGGGTAGGGATGGATGCCCCAAACGACAATGAGCTTCTACTGGAGTGACAACACCCGAACAAGCAACAGGCTCTCGCCTCGTGGTGTCAAGAACGTAGAGGCCCCCAGACTCGCGCCCCTTACCAATAACCCTCTTCGTCAAAAGATCTTCAAACAGACAATAATCAAGGAAGAACGTAACAGAACAGTTTAAAGTATGGGTAAGTTGGCTGACCGAAATTAAGTTGAATGAAAAATTAGGTAGATGCAAGACAGAAGACAAGGGGAGCGAAGGGATGGGCGTAATGGTACCAGACTCAAGAACATGGGAGGTAGAACCATCTGCTAAGGTGACGGGGGAACTGTGTGGGCGAGAAGAAAGCGTGGAAAACAGAATAGAGTTACCTGTCATATGATCCGTGGCACTCGAGTCTATAACCCACTTGGAAGAGGATGAGAGAAGGCACGTAGTTGCATTACCTGAGTCAGCAATAGCAATGATTGAAGAGGATGAACGCTTTAAAGATTCTTGATACTGAGAAAACTTGGCAAACTTGTCGGCAGATACAGTGATCAACTTGGAAGATGCCTCAGTTGTGGATGCAGCATTAGCAGTCGGATTTCCTCGCTCCCTCAACCATCTCCTACAATCCCTTTTTATGTGGCCAGGTTTATGGCAATAATGACACACAATACCACCAGAAGTGTATCCCTGGGAATTTTTCCCATTCCCACTGCGAGGATGACGGCCAACGAGAGCATTGTTTGATGGGATGGTAGCCTCAGACATACTTGGTTGCGATTGCATCGATCGAATCAGACGTGACAAAATATTAGCAAGAGAAGGGATTGCAGAGCTACTAAGAATTGCAGACCTCGCCGTGTCAAACTCAGAAGGGAGACCTGCCAAAAAACTCAGAACAGCCAATTGTTCACGTTGGTTTTGCTGCTCTTTAATGTCAGCAGTGAATGGCATAAGCTGATTAAGTGCCTCATAAGTCTTCTTAAATTCCATAAAGTATGCAGGGAGAGACAAATCATGTTTTTCAGCACGGAAAAGGACTTACAAACATCATAAACACGAGTGATATTCCATTTCCCAGCGTATAAGTATTCCAAATACTCCATCAACTCCTTAACAGAGGCACAATGACTAATGAACCCAACAATACCCTCATCAATAGAATTACGGATTTGCAGGAACAAACGGGCATCATCCCGTACCCAAGTAGCATCTTGGTCAGCCAAAGGTTTGGATAGGTGGTCACTCTTATCCAAACTAGTAAGATAAAGCTTAATGACATGAATCCATTCCAAGTAATTAGAGTCATTAAACTTACAATCCGTGAGTTTAGAATTAACAGGAACTATATCAGTGACAACCACAGACATATTCCCAGCCATACCCACAAATTTATGACTGCAAACAGATCAGAAAACACACAAAAAATGGAGCCGAAGGGTAACGAAACAACCTGACCTTAGAACCGAAAAGACCGACGCTAAACTGGTCCAAACTGAGCCCGGAACCGAGACCCCCGAACTCAGGCGACCCTGGGAAGACCGACCGGAAGAAATTCAGGTCACCGGAGACCCCTCACGCGCCGGCACGTGGCGGCGGCTGTCGATGGCGAGTGGCGGTGGACCGGCGGTGAGGACAGGAGACGCCGAAAAAAAAAAAACTATTGCCCTGGCTCTGTTACCATGTTAAAGCAGTGAGAAGCATACCTCTGTGTAGCTCTCTCTCTTTCTGTGTAGCTCTAGGGTTAGTCAACCACACCTTAAATACAAGTTGGTTCTAAACTGATATGGTATGCCAATATTTAGTTTCCTAAAATATGGGATACTCAATTACACAGAATATTCTATAACAGAAGCTAAAATTTAAATTACATAAGCAAAAAAAAAATGTTAATGTTAAATAACTTAAAAATAAGATTCACATGTTCTCAAAAATTTTACATGCACAATAACATTCATGAAAAAAAAAATTCTAGCTACTTTTTTAAATGCAAAACAATTCATAACCGCCTTTTTTCCCCCTCATCTCAAGCCTTGGATCATCAAAGCAAAGAATGAAAACTATCCCCAGCTAATCATTGTAGGAAAATAGTGTAGATTCCTTCTATGTCTTGACTTTTGCCATTTTGCTAAGTCTTGATGAATTTGTGAAAATTTGAAGGTGAAAACTCCTGTCTCAGATTCCCCAACTATAAAAGAACTCATTCTTGAGTTCAAGGAATCATTTTTCATCATCTTTTTAATAACTATTTGGAATACAAAGAAATCTTCATGGTCTTCTTAAGTGCTAATAGAACCTATTCAATATTCCTTGGACATGTGGTTATTATCACACTGTATTTAATGATCTTTCAAATTTGTAGTTACAGATGCCTAATATTCGACAGTCCTCTGTTCCTCCACCTCATTCCATATTGCCAGACAGTTAGAACACTTCCTTGGGGGATACCTCCCCCTCAGAGTTCATTGGACCAGACACAACCTCAGCTTCAGCTTCCACAAGCAGCTGAAAACAACATTTTGCAACATGGGTATTAATTTGACTCAAGCTATTTGGCCACAGGGTAATTTGAGTGCTACCCTGCCGATTCAAGTTGGCACTTCCACTTCCTCTTCTTTGAAGCATCAAATGCATCATCCTTTGTTACCTCAAGTAGGGCTTCTTCCTTATGCAAATTTGACATATACTAGTCAATCAAAATAATATTAATAAAGATGCCAACCTAACTTGAATAGTTTTTTTTCAAGTTTTCATTGGGTTTTTGCATCTTTTTGACAATATGTGGAAGATGTTTTTTATTATCTTTTTTTTTTTTAACAGCCAAGCTCTTCGGCATTGTCTACTCTCTGGACAACATTATTAAGGGTCGTCTTGAAACCCAGATTGTTGCTAAAAATTTTGCTTGGCTCAATAAAATGTACATCAATTCCCACTTCAAGTTTGGCAGAGAGAGCTAGAGTCCCAAATGATAGTATAGATGCGATGAATCATCGCCCATTAAAGTTGTCAAAAATAAATGATGGAAGGAGTTCTTATTCACCAACTGAATTAAATGTTGGTAACAAGACCTTCAAGGTCAACTAGCTTATCTGGAAATCAAATTTCCGGAACAGAAGAGGCTTCTAGTTCAATTCTGAGAAGCATGCTCTTCTGGTAAGCTTTAATAGACATTCCTATATTGCATCCATCTTAAGAACTGTTGTTATTATTATTATTATTGTGAGTGTTTTATACCCCTTCAAATGCAGGTGAATTACTTATACGACTAGCGTATTATTTGTTGTTTTTTAAACAGTTTAGTATATTGTTCTTTAAGGTCCCATTTGATTTTCGTTAATCCTGAATCAATTTTCATCCAAGACCTCTCTTTCACACCTGCAGATAACCCCAGATGTAGAGTCTGCCTTATTGCAGCAAGTGATGAGTCTCACGCCAGAACAGTTAAACTCATTGCCCCCGGATCAGTGACAACAGGTCCTTCAGCTTCAACAGATGCTTCGGCAGCCAACATAGGCCAAAGGATCGGACTGAGAGTTCGGATCCCCAGTACAGTTATCAGTGAGCTGCTCTTCCACTCATCCGAACAAATATCGAATGGGGGTCATCATCAGCACAGCCACGAAGCAGAATGTGTACAAAACGGTTGCCTTTGTGTGGCATGCAATGCTGTTTCTTAAATCAATTTTCCTATTGTAAATTTATCTTATTTTTTAAAGATTAGCATAGGATAAATTCTAGAAAGGTTTTCCATTCATGTAACGATGTATTAGCACAGATTGAATGAATAGGGAGGAGAAAATTTTGGGATTTTTTTGGCACTGTTTTGCTCACTATAGTTTGAGATGGACTGAGTTACAAATTCATGTTGAGAACTATATACATAAACTATATTGTTTTCTCTTTTCCCTCCACTCATAATACTTGCCTATTACCTTATCGTTTATACAAACATGTATGAAAGAACTATTATAGTGTATAACATGTATGAAAGAACTATTATAGTGTATGGTTTAGAGTGAATCAAATAATATTTTGTGAAAACTAAACTTATTTATGAATTTGATACCTATTTAAAAAACCCTATGGATTAATGGTTAATTCCTCATATTGAATAATGTTGATTAAATGTGGCAATGTCACAATAATCAACGACCAAAATTGAAAAATTTGTCAAAAAAATTAAGTAAAACTCTAAATGAGTTTAATAGTTCTGTTCCAACACCGTAAACTAAAACTTGAGCAACTCTTTCTTTGGAATTAGCGTAAATTGAGAGAGATCCCAATTGACTTTGCTGAAATTTCAACAATGAGGTTAATCGAATTACTATGTTTTCTATTTAGAACGAACGACGTGAGATGAGAGTGTATGTAAAAGTGTTGTATTTAGTAGTAATGTCTGAGAGTACAGATAGCGAATATATGATACTAGATAGAGTCCTAGTTTAACACGAATAATATAGTCCTAGTCTAATATGAATAATATAGTCCTAATACTCTCCTCAAGCACAAGGTTGGCTAGCCAAAACATTGAGCTTGTCACGAAGAGAATTAAAACGAAGAGACGAAAGAGACTTTGTAAAGATATCCGCTAGTTGATCCTTGGTTGAAATAAAGTGCACCTCTAACTCCTTTTTAGCAACTTTATCGCGAACAAAATGATAGTCAATCTCAATGTGCTTCATGCGGGCATGAAACACTGGATTGGCACATAAGTAAGTAGCTCCCAAATTATCACACCATAGTCGAGGAGGAAACGCAGGAGGGATGCCGATTTCGTTTAACAGGGAAACAAGCCATGTAACCTCTGCAAATACATCAACTAGCCCCTTGTATTCTGCTTCAGTTGAAGAACATGCCACAGTCCGTTGCTTCCGACATACCCAAGATATAAGATTACTGCCCAAGAACACAGTAAAGCCACTAGTAGACTTGCGATCATTCGGATCGCCAGCCCAATCTGAGTCAGAATAGGAGTGAATATCCATAGATGTAGACCAAGAAATCCGTAGACCAAGATTCAGGGTGCCCTTGACATACCGCAGGACTGTTTTCAAAGAGGCCTAGTCCGTAGTAGTGGATGCATGCATGTGTTGACACAAGAGATTAACAACATAAGATAAATCAGGACGAGTTACCGTAAGATACTGGAGAGCACCTGTAAGACTCCTGTACTGTGTAGGATCAGCATAGGGAACGGCGACTTCGTTGGTGATTTTCGCAGAAGAGACGGGCGTGACTACTGGCTTGCAGTCAACCATGCCAGCACGTTTGAGAATATCCTTCATGTACCGTTGTTGTGATAAAAGCATACCGCCAGATAACGTGACAGTTTCAATACCCAAAAGGAAAGAAGGCACACCCATATCACGAACCTTAAACTCAAGGGCCAATTTATCAATAATAGCAGTAACACGATCTGAGTCAGAACCCATAATCAAAATGCATGTCATCAACATACACCAAGAAATAAAGACGAATATTGTCACGAGAATAGATAAAAAGAGACACATCAGTCTTTGAAGGCGAGAAGCGCACAGAGACAAGAAAATCATGCAATCTTGTGAACCAAGCATGCGGAGCCTGTTTGAGCCCGTATAGAGATTTTTGAAGCAAACACACATGATCAGTTAATGACTTGTCCTCATAACCAGGCAGCTGTTGCATATAAACAGTCTCAGCTAGCTCACCATTTAAAAAGGCGTTGTGAATATCCAATTGGCGAATAGTCCACCCACGAGATAGGGCTAAAGATAAGAGAAGGTGTACAGTAGTGGGCTCAACCACGAGACTAAAGGTCTCAAAAAAGTCTTCTCCAGCAACCTGATTAAAACCCTTGGCCACCAGCCTAGCTTTATGACGTTCTATTGAACCATCGGCCTTTTGTTTGGTTCTGAAAACCCACTTGCAACTAACAACATTCATACCTGGGTGAAACGGAACAAGACACCACGTATGATTATGGACCAAGGCATTGATCTCGGCGTCTATCGCATCACGCCACTCAGGAAACTTGACCGCCTGAGTGTAACAGGTGGGCTCAAGCACTATGGTAGAAATAGTGGGTAAGGCAACATGTTGATGCGGACCCGAGCTACGAGTGTTCATAGCATGCGACCGAGGAGGAGGAGTGACTTGCCGAGGACGTCCGTGCGGCCTGCCGCGCTGCTCAACCTGCTGGTCCGAGACAGTCTGCTCACTTGATGAGGACTGCTCGAGACCATTATCGTCACCATCGCCAGAAGCCGAGACGGGCTCATCAAATTATCGAGCGTTATCAACAGCCGTGGCTGAGACACTACCACCTCGGCACGTCACAATTGGTGCAGTAGCCCAAGGTTCGGAACATGGTCTAGCAACCTGCGAGGCAACAGGAGAAACAAAGGGAAACACAGTCTCATCGAATCGCACATGGCGACAGATAAAAACCTTGTTAGTGTTAGTGTCCAAACAGCGATAGCCGCGATAAGACGGAGGATAACCTAGAAAAACACAGGGAGACGAACGAAACTGGAGTTTATTGCGATTATATGGACGAAGGACAGGAAAGCACAAACAACCAAACACTCGCAAGTAAGAGTAGGAAGGGGGAGAACGATGCAAACGAAAATGTGGAGACTCATCAGACAGAACACGAGTAGGCATTTTATTTATAAGATAAACAACAGTCTCAAACGCATAGTCCCAAAAACGAGAAGGAACAGATGCCTGAGCCATCAAAGACAGTCCTGTCTCAACAACATGATGATGTCTGTGTTCCACTCGACCATTTTGCTCGTGAGTCACATGATTTCCTGTGACGAATACCCAGAGAAGAAAGAGCGGAACCAAGCTTTTTATATTCTCCCCCTAAATCATATTGAAAAGAAATAATCTTGCGAGAAAAAGAACGTTCAACCAGTGACCGAAACTTATCAAATATGTCATATAACTCAGATTTAGCATGCATTAGATAATACTACATATAATGTGTATAATCATCCACAAACAACACAAAATATTTAAAGCCATTCGCAGAAAGTAACGGTGCAGGGCTCCAAATATCATAATAAATTAATTCTAAAGGATGCGTACTAGTGGTTTCAACACGAGATAATGGAAAATGAGAAGATTTTCTCAATTGACAAGATGGACAAACATTGGGAAGATCACTATAATTAAATTTACTAACAGATGAAGACGCTATAATTTTACGTAGGCCACTTGTAGAGACCCCAGACGCATGCCCCTTAAAAAGAACCTTCTTTGTCAAAATGTCCTTCACATAGAAACAAAGTGGGTGAAACTCAAAGAAAACATTATTGTCTTTCGCAAAGCGTTGAACAGACAGCAAAGAAGAGGAGAGACCAGGGACATGCAAAACATTATGTAACTTAAAAAACCTAGAATCAGTAGCTAACGAAGCGGAACCAACATTAACAATAGGCAAACATGTACCACTACCGACTCGCAGAGTTTCCGGGCCATCATAACTTGTCGCGAAAGTCATCAAGGATGAATCAGGCGTAGCATGATTCGTAGCACTAGTGTCCGGGAACCATTCATGAGGACCACTGGGATCACCATTCTCACCTTAGACAACCACATTTTCTTGCGTTGCCGGGGGTCGAGAAACGATACTTACACGAGAGGGCCCCGTGTCTTTGTTTGTCACAGATCTGGCACCGTGGTCCCGTGCTCGAGCCACGCCCGCGTCCACGGCCACGCCTGCCGCCTGAGCCCCGACCGCGACCTTGCTGTTGCGTCACACCGCCACGGCCAGAAGTCGCACCGCCACGACCAGTGGCCATCGCAACCGGCGGTACACCGTCGACTCCATTGTCAGCGCAGATCCACTCCTGCGACACCAAGAAATCCGCCACCTCCGCAAGCGGAACCGCAGAACCTCGAGCTAGGGTTGCTACAAGCGAACGAAATTCAGACCGTAAGCCACGAAAGACGTATAAGTTCTGATCGTCTAACGTAACATCATGACTGGCAAGAACGAGATCATCAATCAAAAGTTGTGCACAACCAACATAATCTGCTATGGAAGAGTCACCCTGCCGAAGAACTTGCAACTCACCGAACAACCGCAACGCCCGAGAACGCGAGGAAGAAGCGAGAGATTGTTCGATGGTGAGCCAGAGTTGCCGCGAAGTAGAACGACCAACGGCGAACCGCATCGTCTCCTCTGAAAGGGACGAAATTAAGAGAGACAATATGGCTTTGTCTTGCCTCCTCCAAGCCACCTGCCGGGCTACGAGCTCACCCGCCGCTGCTAGGCTGTCAGCGGTCGAGGCAATGACGTCGGCGGCGGTGACCGGTGCTGCGATCGGATACGGTATACTACCATCGATGAAACCAAGAAGACCTTGACCCTCTAGGAATGGCAACATCTGTGTTCGCCAAAAAAGATAATTACGGGGTCAGTTTCAAAGAGACAAAGTGATGAGCCGATGAGAGGCTGTTCCCGGTGGGCACAGGGGAGGTCTCGGTAACGGCCCGTTCAGAAGACCGAACAGAGCCATCATCAGGGAAACCGAGACCATCCATGAGAGAAAAACCTGAAAGCTGATACCAGATGAGAGTGTATGTAAAAGTGTTGTATTCAGTAGTAATGTTTGAGAGTACAGAGAGCAAATATATAGATA